CTATCCCTGAGCATATACAAACACACAAGAAGGAGGGAGGGAGGGAGGGAGGGAGAGCTCGCAGCGAGGGCTCCCACTTCTAATGCCCCTTTCAAGTCCTTGAGATGAACGATAGTCTCGAATTATTGTGTCCCAAATGTGACTTTTGTGGAAAAGCCAAAGTTTTGGCCATTTGCCACTTTTTTGGGGGAAAGCCAAAGTCCTTGAGACGAACGAAAGGTGCCTGGCACACGGCGGCAAGGATCGTAACCTTGCCTATACCAAGGCCGGGCTTCCCCTCCCCCTTCTCTCTCTCTCTAGGTTTGTGATTTTTAAAATTTTTCTTTTCAAGCACGTTGGTATATACTTGTTTTTTTTTCTATGTCAACGTTGGATAGAAAAAGGAGTATTTACGTGGCACTGACGTGGACGACCAAGTCAACAATCCGAATATTTGACTAAAGGATTAATATGAACAAACAAACATATAATTCAAGGATATGATTGTACTAAAAGAAAGTCTAGGGATATTGCATAGGTGAAAAAAAAGTTTAAGAATTCATAATGGCTTTATCCCTCTTAACTAGGTGAAATTTTGGTTGCCTGAACTTGAGTACGGCCCTATTTCTGGCTAGAAATAGAAAAATCTATTTTTATTCCCCAAGCGAGTTTTTAAGCAAAAAACAACGTTTGATAAATGATACAAAATTTATGTTCCTAGAATAGATCTTAAATTTATGTTCTCGGAGGCCAGCAGGCGGCGGACTGGGTGGCGGAGGTGGACAGCCAGCGAATGACGGCGAGTGGTGGTGACGAGCAGTCGACGAGCGACAACGGGCAGGCGGCAACAGACAGCCAGTAGGCGGGTGGCGGCAGGGGAATGGCGGTGGGCGGCGAAGGCGAGCAATAAAAAAGAATTGTTATTTTTGTTTCTATTCCAGAAATAGAAAAGTGTAAAGTTTTAACTTTTTATGTTTTGTTCCAAACCTATTTCTGGGCTACAAATTTGTCCCGGAAATAGAAAAATGAAATTAATTTACCAAACAGATTTCTGTTCCAAAATTGTTCTCGGGAACAAAAAAATATAAAAATAGGAAAATTAGAATAGTTCTTATTCGCGCCCTTAGCTACTTCCAAACAACTAACGGGATGACCAAAAATTCAGACCGGCCCGATCCGGAATTCAAAAGCCCGAAATGGTCAACCCAGTCTTTGGGCTTTTTTTTATTTTCTATTCAGGCCGGGCTTAAAATTCGGGCTTCACACGGCAGATCTTGAATGGCCCCGACTGGCCTGAAAGTTTTAGTATGTTTATTAATATTTGTGAGAAAAAAAGTTATGAAAACCCACTTTTTTATTTTCAGAAAGGTCCGACCAAAAGAAAAATTTCAGAAGGGGGAAAAAAATTTGATTCTTACTATCTACTTGAACTCTTGAAATAAGGAAAAAAATATTTTGGAAAAGATTAGTCTTTATAAAAGTAAGTAACCCAAATTAAAATTAAGTAGGCCTTCCCAAATTGCATCTAACGTAGGTATTAGGTATAAAATAACACACTCAATTTGCAATAATATTTTAAAAAATTTTGATTGGAATAATCAAATAAAAAATATATGTACCATAAATCCAATTGCGTCACTTTTGTGTATAAGCATTTAAGGAGCTCTCTCGCTGGTTTATAATTTCTCATTGGTGCTTAGTAAGTCATGTATTTGCTTAAATACATGGTGGTCTCCTAATTAAGTCATTATATACTTCTTTAAGAAGGTTCTATTTGCAGGGAAGGCACATGATGTAAAACTGAAAATCATGATCCGCCCAACCCGATCGAGCTTATATAATTTCCTTTTCATTTCTCCAGATTTTACTATTACTATGACTACCAACTCTACTGGAGGATCTAATGGGACATTAAGGTTGTCAAAAAATCGACCTTTTACGTCCACTAAGGTTATAAGAATTACTGATGACTTTACAACAGTGATTGAGAGGGAGGATTTCGGAAAGTTTACTTTGGCGGCCTCGACAATGGCACTCAAGTCGCGGTAAAAATGTTATCTCGATAATCAAAGCAAGGCTCCAAGGAGTTTCATGCAGAGGTTTGAAACAATAGTGCCACTAAAATCAATGTGTCATGTTTTGGATTTTTTGGGTGTTCTACTCATAGCAAGCTCATATACCTTGATGTGCAGGCACAATTCGTGATGTTCATCATAGAAATCCGGTTTCACTTATCGAATATTGTGAAAATTTTGAAAACATGGCACTATTTTACGAATTCATGTTCAATGGAAATGTTCGGCAACATTTGTCAAGTTAGTCTGATATTTCCTTTTACAAATTCTAAACAAATAAAGCATCTCTTAGACTCTCACTATATGAATGCACAACATGTGTCGAGATATATTTATCTCAACACCATTCTTTTGATAGTTCAGATTTTTGCATTAATCAATTAAGTTACATATTCATTAAAAACACCATGGAGATGAAATTAACTTTCTCAGCGAATGAAGACAATAGGGGAAAATTACCAAAAAAGTCTTAAACCTATTACAATTGTGTTAATTCAGTCATAAACCTTTTTTATGCTAATTCAGTCATAAATATTTTGCATTTGTGCCAATTTAGTTCATCTGGCCAATTTTAGCCAACCAATGCACCGACGTTGACGTGACAATTTTTAATAATTTTTTTATATTTTCATTTTCTTTGTCTTTTTCTTTTTTCCATCCTTCCTTCCTTTGTTTCCTTCCTTCCATTTCTCGAACTTTCGTGGTGGTTGTGCGTTGCTGTTACGATTTTGTTTTAGCAGTTTAATGTTGTTGCTTACTGTAGAAAATTCTACGGTAGTTCGCTGTGAAAAGATTTTGAGTTATTTGCTAATGTCGGTGGGTTTGATTAACTTCATTTATTTGTGATTACATTAGGAAGTAGAAGGTCTGAGCTATAATGCTGATCTGGTTCGACAAGGTTATCTTCGGGTGTGTGTGGTAAAAAGTATGGAAGAGAGACTATACTGTTAGGTTGCCGGAGAACATATATATATATATATATATATATATATATATATATGTATGGAGGGTAGACTAGAGGGTAGACTAGAGGAAATTCCAAGTAGAAATTAGTTGTTGCATCTGTCGGTTACAGGGTCAACAAGGTGCAGCTTTCGGACTCGGTGCAGGGTACTAGAAGTCCTACAAGGCGAATAAAAGGCGTAAACAATCAAAATGTGAGGATGTCAGTTTGAATTTAGATATGAATTCGTACGAAAGTTTGCAGAATGAAGGTGCTGTGCCTGCTAGTGATCGTTCCGATGAAAATGATTTGCAGAGTCCGTCCTCTGCCCCTGAGATTAGTAGCTATACATCTCGAAGCTCTGAGAATTAGATGGTTTTATCAGTAGCCGGGGCGAATCTAATGCCTTGCTTCAATGTACGATCACCTTAGCTTTATGTTGATTTTGTTGACTATGCGCAAACACTGGAGCTAACTTCCATTTATATGTTCCCTTTTTTTTTTGTTGACAAGCAGCACACGGCGACAGTAATTGAGAACAAGATGATAGTGGTAGGTGGTGAATCTGGAAATGGCCTACTGGATGATGTTCAGGTATAAGATTATTTCCTTGAACATTGCATGTTGACTTTGGATTATGTCTCCATCGGATGATGATAACAATATAATTTATGCAACTTTGCCATCTACTAATTATTACAGGGAATAATAGAGCTTCTCTTTTCCCCGTTCAGGTACTTAATTTCGACAGATTTTCGTGGACTACGGCTTCTTCAAAACTTTACCTGTCGCCAAGCAATCTCCCTTTAAAAACTCCTGCATGTCGAGGTCACCCTCTGGTACGAGTTGCTCTCATACTGCCTGCTATCAGTCCTCCTTTTCACTTATTGTGTTGGCGCTTCTATTTTGCATTTTGTAATCTAACTCAGTTCAATTTGATTAATTTATGTCATGTAAGAATTGCCTTTATTTACTTTATCTGGAAGCTTACAAATAAGATTTGCAAAGAGGAAAACCTTTCTGGTAATAGAAGGATCTTTCAGAATTGAACCCTCTCCGATATACTTTATTACTAGAACTACTACACAATTAATGGGAGACAGGTGCAGGACATTTCTTGGCTTTTTCCCCAAGGAACCAACCAAGTTCATTAAAGTGATGATTGGACTATATCCAAGAAACAGTTCTATAAGGGAAGAATCTCTGTTCGCATGTCTGAGTAGAAATTTTCCGCTGTATGTTGAAATGGACATGAAAAAGCATGCAAACTGAGAATTCAACAATGGCAAGGAAAAAGTACTAGCAAGTAAAAAACTCAGCAGCTTCTGGCTCCTCCGGAAGTCTAAAACATAGCAATAAGATAGGATTACCATTTGATAATGTTTCGCTAGGATCTGCCTGGAAGCTGTGGAGCTAATGAAATTTTAAATTTGTTTACCGTTTTCTAGGTTTCTTGGGAGAAAAAGGTGGTACTAATTGGAGGGAAAACTGAACCTGGGACTGATGGATTGTCAGGTACGGTCTTTCTTTCGCTTATCACGCTCGTATTGCCTTTTCCTTTTTCCACTTGGTGCTGAATTTAACGCGCCGGTCCTCCACAGTGTGGGTGTTCAACACTGAAACGGAGTGCTGGTCTCTGATGGAAGCTAAAGGGTGTTCGACACTTTGATTGAATTCTGCACACTTTGATGAGGATGATGATGTTGGTGATTTGATTGATCACCTCAGCAACAGCTGAATGCATGTGCTCATGTTCATTGCACTTGCTTGTTTCCATTTGTTCTCAAATATATCCCGGAATTAAAGTTTGTCACTCGCTTGCGTTCTCCTTGGTAAGAGCTCCCATCTGAGTATAGATGACATGACATGATCAGAAATCTTAATTAGCTAGTGCAAACTTTTTTAGTGTTACTTAAAAAGTGCATCACATACATCTTTGTTTGCATGGCATCTTATTTGCACAAATTCATATTTTTGCGAATTGTATTAAGATCAAGTCTTATTTCAATTTTTCACGTTTTCTTCTTCCTCATCCGCTGCTCCTCAAGCAAATCCTTCTGGCCCGATCCTCAGCCGCTCTGTACCCGGTCATCACCACTCATTGCCCGATCCTTGTTGCTCCTAGCGAGCTGCAGTGTGTCTTCCGCGGTCGTCTCTTCTTTCCCAGGTAGGGTGTTCAAACTTTGGATTGAGTCAGATTTGTTCGTGACGGACACCTTGATCACTTGTATTCGGCTTTCCAGAAGACCTAGAGTGCCGGCTTGGTGTTTGACGCCGGGTCTGTTCTGGATTCCATTCGCTGGAATGTTACAATAGGTGGCTATGTGATAAATGCAGAAGTTGATTCCGGTGTGTGAACTGTTCGATGAAATAACTGAGATGGACGCACTTGGACCTTGATGATGAGGGGCTACATTAGGAGAGGGGAGATGGAAGAGGCGAGATGGTTTTTCGATAGAATGCCATTCAGAGACACCTTTTTGTGGAATTGTATAGATGGGTAGGATTGGTTGTTTTTTGGTGGCTCTTGAGTCGTTTAATTCAATGCCTTCTTGTAATGATTTAAGATACAATAATGCTGGAATTGTGATCACTCAGTTCCTGTTGATATTGGACAAGTGCATACATTTGTTGTTCCCCAGTTCCACATGTAAATAACTATATTTTAAACAAAACACTAGGTGTTGGAAGGTTTAATTGTTTCATTGGAAGGTTTAATTGTTTCATAAACTCGTTTGCTATCTTCTCTTTCGTGTAGTGTTGTGTGTTGTGTGCACATATTAAAGTTGTATATTCATTTGTTGTTGTCTCCTTTTGTAATGCAAATATTAAAGTTCAATGAATTCTAGTGTTTAATGATGAGTTGATGGTGGTCATTCATGATGGTTCGTTGATGATGTTGTTGCGCTGAATTTGATTATGGTGATGGATCTATTGTTAACAACACAATGCAAAATGTTGAGCATTCTTCTTTGAAAAAAGAATCAACGAACGGATGAATGTCCTTTCAACCAATGTATTTTGGTACTGCAACCACTTTACTGCAATAAAGCGCATGGATATTCCATTGTATTTGAACTGTTTATATCTACTATAAACACACTTAGAGTTTTCTCATCTCTCAAAAGCCAAAACTAGTTGTCATTTTAACCAAAATTCTCAGTCAACCAACATTCTCATATTACTCTTTAATGGACTGGAAATATATGCAAGAAAAAACCCCACTTGTACATCAGTGAAACATCACAGTACTAAAACTGTTGCACGTCAAGAGCCACCTAATGACATATATCAGTGAAGTCCCAAAGCAAGAAAATGAAATTTTGGCTACTAAGGAGGACCTCGATCTCTCTTGTTCCCTTGTTACTTGGATTTTCTTCCCTTGTGATCTTGCCATCTTTGTTCGGTTCACACTGAACCCCTTCACTTCTTCGATGAGCTGCAGTTTCTCCTAAAACTTTTCGACTCTTCTTCAATTAGTCCAGACCTCTGCATAACGCACATAGCAACTATCTAATATCTATGAATTCACTCTATAATCACTGGTGAGCCGCTAAAACCAAATTGACATTCCTTCATGCATCGAATAAAAACTGAGAAACTACCCAACATATCCTAAGAGAATAATGAAGTTTCGATCCAACAAGAGCCCTCAAATTTGGTGGTGCAATTTAAAGATTCTGAGAACATCTAGTCCTTGCCACTTATAAAAATTTACCTGAATACTTGATATCACCGAATCAAATTTTGGTTCTCAGATATTGCATTGAGTTCAATGGCTCATTTGCAACATAGAAGCATCCGGTACACTACGTAGAGGTATATCTGTGCCCAATAGAATCACTACTGATGATAGCCGACGGCTGATTGAATGCAACTGAAAGTAACTTCAACTACCGAAACAACTAAATAAAAGCTAAGAATGTATAGATCAGTGCAATCAATCAATGAAGCATCACATCACTAAAATTGACATATATTAATCCATATCACTCTTTGACAACATCAATTTACATCACTCCTATAAACAATAACAACAAAATAGAAAGCAACATTTTTGCACATGGTCTTGCTGGTGGTATTGTTGTTGGTCTTGTTGCACGTCAAGAGCCACTCGAAAACAACTAATCCTTGCATATCCATCGATCATACAAATCCATGAAGGGGTGTCTTTCAATGGCATTCTATCAAACAACCATCTCGCCTCTTAGCCCCCTATCATAAAGGTCAAACGTATTGTTGTTAAGTTGGGAATCATCCCGTTGTTGTTGCCTTCCATCTCCATCTTTACCTTTCTGGTCAAACGTATAAACGTGGTCACAATTCGAATTTTGCTAAGTTGGGGATCATCTTAATTCGTTTCTCTATGTAGTTTTGTCTCACCAGACAACACTTATCATTTGGGAAAATTGTTCAAAAAGCTCTATACCTATTGCACTTTTGTCAATTTAGTTTTACTCTAATTAACATATTTGTGTACAATGAAGCCATGAATAAGATACATCCGTGATATAATTTTTTAATAATATCGTGGTGAAAAGCATAAGTTTCAACTTCCCCTGATATAATCTTTTACTGCCTTGACCTAAGCCATAATAATGCTTTCTGCGATTTCGTGGATGGAGTTGACCGATCAAAGTAAAGCTTCTCTTGGGGAAGATGGGGCAATAAATCCCCTTGTCAAAATGTTCAGTACAGGGAAGCTTGAAGCTTGAAGCTAAGCTGTCTGCATTGAGTGCACTGCATGACCTATCCAGCTTGGCAGAGAATATCAAGCGTTTAGTCAGCTTTGGTGTTCTCTGTCGCATCGGTTCTCACGACTCTCCGGGAGCCTGCATCAGCTATTCTTGTACAAATTGCTCAATCAGAATCAGTTTGAACATTCAAATATAATCGTGGAATGATCTCCCAAGAAAGCAGCCATGGCACGAATTAACAATTAGTTTATGGCCTACACTATGGGAATAAGGAATTTAATATACAATGGAAATATTAGAAAATTTCAAAATCTAACAAAATATTGTTTGGATGAACATTATTTCATCACTATCCCCTCTACTCGCATCAAGTAGAGGCAAAAAGATCTATATTATTATATGCTTTTTGTAAGTATTTAATACTCTTTATTATATGATATTTTCCATGCAAAAATTAGATGTTGTGCAACCCTCCTCCACACCATCTCTCCGCCTCGAACCCTAGTCCTCCATCACCTCGCCATCGTTGCCCCGGTGGCCCACTGCCTTGACCTTAGGTGGGTGGCCTCGAATCTATGGCATCGTGATCTATGACATTGTCTGTCGCGCGGAGATCGTTGATCCGTTGCCACATCGATTCCTTTCGACGCTTGGTTCATCCTCGAAGAAGGTCTCTTGTGCCGATGAGCTTCTTGTTGAAGTTTGAAGAAGAAAAATTTTCAAACCGAAATTGGGGTGAGTGTGTGGTGAATATTAGTGGGTTTAAATCTATACAAGTGATTGGTAGAAAATTGTTGCATCACATTGATTATTAATAGTGATGTGTTAGTCTAACTAAGGTGGGTGAAAAAAATGTTTCATCACATTGATGTAAAAGTTCAATAATTCACCACCAAAGAATTTTAATAAAGTAATTATAGATCACTCTCTTTACTTCACTTATAAGGTGTGGTTTGAATTCTTTTTTTTTATCTATGAATCATAAAATCGTTTAACTTGTTTATAATTTATTAAAGGTTTCTCAATTAAAAACGATGTTTGCTTATGCCAAATAGTAAGGTTTGTTTCACATCATTGTCATTTATAGATAAGGGTTGTCGTGTCTAAGTGCTAATTATATATATTTATTGATTTATTGCTTAATGATTCAGCCATAAGTTATATAGCCAGAAAAAAATATCACCTTACAACTATTTAACGGACGTCCGATCATTGGTTTGGAGAGAGCTTATCACATGAATTCCTAATCGTTTCCTAATGTAGGATTTTTTACCTGTCATTGAAGTTTACTTTCCATCAAATTTTAAGTATATCACCATCTTCTTTAGCTCTTAAATCTAAAGGCGATCGGTTTCCAGGTGGATGTGATTGCGATTATCCTACGCCTCCTTGTTCTGCCTGAGAACCGGCCTTTTTTTTTATTTGGTGTAAAAGATCAAATTATTATAGCAAAATATAAAGCTTGTGCCATTTCATTACCAAAAAAAAAGAAAAAACATATGTTGATCAAATGACAGTGCTATTGCTTTTGCATGTTAAAATCGGTTTCGAGTTAAACCGGTTCCGTCATAGAATCGGCGGTTTTGGTCTTGGAACCGGGAAACGGTTCTCCCTTGACCCGAGAATCGGTACGGATTTACATCTTTTCAGTCAGATCCTACGATCGAGCCGGACCCGATGAAAGCCCATACTTAAATCCCACGGCAAACGTGTATTATTTATACATCGTATATTTTTGTACACGAAGATGCAGCCCCACAATGCTGATCTTATGTCATGTTGGATTGACGATTACAAGCGAACGAGTATTTTCGAAGGCCAAGGATCGTGACTCACAAGTATTCTGCACCGTCGAATAGCCACGGTGTACGTAGCACACGACAGTCTCTCTCCATCTCTTGACTTTTTCTATTTGCCGAACTCTATTCTGTGGTTGTTGAGAGTCCTGTGATCTTGATCCGTTTCGGCTTTACACGACATCTTTAAGCTTAAGTCGTAATTGCCTAGTCAAAGACCGATAAAGGGATCCGATTAAGTCGTTAACAAAACCCTAAATTGACGCGTGGCGATTGATTATTGAAGGGAGAAGTTTTATTTTTTGTCTAAATTTTCGGAAGAAGTTGAACTGGGGATATAAAAGGGGTCGACTTTATGATAGGAGAACTCACGTCCTTCATGACTGTTGCTTGTTCATTATTTATTTGAAATTATCACCATAAGAAATGGGAGGTCCAATGTTTGATGGTTCTTGATGATCCGTACTCTGTAGACCGGGTACCTTGACTTTGGTCATGAATAGAAGGACTTTTAGATTTTGTGCTACGCAGAAGCATGTGCTCCGGCTCTAACTCGTTCCTCACGTTACCTATGTGGAGACTTTTGTTTGTCATTACTGTTCTTGACGTTCTGAACTTGAATAATGTCTCTCTTACTAGTGATTATCTTGCTAAAGTTTCGATCTTTCCCCTGAATCGGTGAATGGTTGTTTCTGTCTCTTGCATTTTAAAAGCCCACTACAAAAAAGCAAGGGATTAGCGACGAATTTTGCGATGAAAAATTTGGCAAAATCCGTCGCAAATCGAGTTTGCGACGAAATTAGCGACGGAAAAAATTCCGTCGCTAATAGGTCGTCGCAAATTTTTGCGACGGAAAAAAATTCGTCGCAAAATTCGTCGCAAATAATTTGTCGCAAAATTCGTCGCAAATTAGCCACGAACTTTATCCGTCGCAAATAATTCGTCACGAAATTCGCCCCGAAATTCGTCGCAAAATTCGTTGCAAATAATTCGTCGCAAAATCTGTTGCAAATAATTCGTCGCAAATTTGCGACGGATTTATTTTTCCGTCGCAAAATTCTTCGCTAATTTGGCACGAATTTTTTTTTGTTTGTAATTTGCGACGAACTTACTCGTGGCAAAATTCGTCGCAAATTTGTCACGAAAAATTTTGACTTTTGCCATGAACATTATTCATGAACAAATTTAGCAATGATTTTTTATTAATTCTTTAGCGACGAACTTTGCGACGAATATCGTTTAGAGACGAAATTAGCGACGAAATTTTATTTTTGTAACGAACTTTTATAATTTGTGATCGTACGATAAAATCATTTATTTTATTTTTCGATTTTAAACTTAATTAAAAGCAAAATTAATTTCTGAAATTTATATTTAACGTTGATTAAGCACTTAATAACATCAAAATATTATAATAATATGAAAATGAAATACATTCATCTACATTTTCCACAAGAATGACATAAATATTTTTCTTTATAGTACACATAATGAGAGAATAAATAATCTTGCATAATAAATAATCTTGCACAATAAACAATGACGACAGAAATGAATCAAAAAAGAATATCCGGCTTTTAGCGACAATCTCCATCATATAAATACTGAACAAAACTAAAGACACGGTCCATGTGAGATGCTCACTTCCTTTGCTCTGTGAAGTTCACGTACTGATCAAGTGCTTTCTTGTTTACATGACTAAACTATCGGAGCTGCTCGTTGCATCTGTGAAGCATCTTCTGCAACTCTTTGATGCTCCTCCGTCTATACCTATAATCTCAAACATATAAAATGAGGTATGATGAGCTTCAATAGTGGAAACCAAATTAAAATTCAGTAGCAAAGGGAACATACGCCTCAAAAGCATTTTCAAAGTCAAAACATTTTCATAGTTAGACAAGGGAACATACGTCTCAAAAGCATCAGAAGATAACGGGCCCAAGTTCCTTATCTTTTTTGAGTACTCATCTTTTTAGCTATAAGAGTATTCCTCCGGCTAAAGAGTTGTTCAAGTTCTTTAGTTTCATCCTGAAGTGTTTTCTAATAGGTGTCCTCCAAAGCCTGCATTCGAGCAATCATTTGAGAAGACACTTATGTATTTGTCGCCCTGGTGTAGATCTGCTGGCTTGCATGAGCAGAGACCATCCTGATGAAACCTCTAGCCATGAGATCTCTTATTGCCTTCCGAGCAAGTGATCCATTAACCCGCACAAGAAAAAGTTTATAAACAACCAAGAGATAACTAATTAGTAGAAAGAGAAGCTCAACCAGCAAGATCCTCTCATTGATGAGAACATGAATATGTTAGCTATAGCACGTTGAAGTATCTAATCGTTCTATGCAAAACACTGGACATGAAAAACCCATAAGTCCGAATGCAACAGAACCACCAGACCACATGTTAAATTAAGGCAGGTAAGTTAAATGTTGTCATCTTAAACTCGATCACACGTAAGCAACACAACCGATCATTTATAAATGCAGCTAACGCTAATTCCATGAGAGTTTTTGGTTCTAAATTACTAAAATTCAATGTAAAGGATGACGAGTAATAACCACTTTGAAAATATGACAGCTTAGATGATCCAGATGAAACTGGTTCACGGTATAAATCTCAGAATGATTCATAGTATAAATATGTCCCACCATCATAAAATTTGCTGATGAAGAATGCATGCTTTTAAGGCCAAGAAAAATAACAATTTGTTCCACACAAGAAGTGAGCCGACGGGGAGTTCTAATTATATCATCATTTGCAAGGCAACTTTCCACACTCAGATCCTCCTAACTTGATATACCTAAAGAAACCATGCCAATGAATTTTACTGGACGGAAGTCTACTTGAGAACTTCACAATATATAAAACTAACAAGTTAAGTCATTTGTTAGAATTAACAGAACAAGATCCTGCTGAAAACATCCTATCAGTTACATACATGTGCGTAATTCACCCAAGTGCATCAACAAAAGGTTTCATCAAAACATGTCCAGAAGGGTTCAAGTGTGATAGCAATTACCATCACATTATATAAGAAATAACAAGATGACGGATCTTGTAAGCAGAAAAGGGGAAAAATTAGATGCCTAAACCAAGACATAGACAATTATAAATACTATTTAGATTAACAGAAAGGCATACCCTTAGGCGATCAGAGAGGATGGACGGGGCGATGAGCTCAAACTTGGCGCCTCAGTCAGAAGATTCTCATAAGTCACCTGGTCAAACAGCACCATGTTGTTCACCTTCTCCTTCTGCTTTCCCTTGCTCCATCTCACCATCACACAATCTAACCCATCATGACCCAACTAAACCGACATAAACAACAAATAAAAGCAGCATGAACATATTCCCATCTCATTTTTGCCTATAATAACAGACACCAACCGCTAAAATACTCGCCAGTACAAGCAATCAGTAATTACCAGTTGCCCAATACACTCTTCGATAGCTCAACTTAAGACCCACATAACTCATTAGTCGCTCCCCAAGTACCTAATAAAAACGTACATGTGCAGTGGAAAAATTTGAAAACTTACAAGGGCCATTGTAGCCGAACAGGAAAGATCTGCTATCCTCACTTCATTTTGAGTAACATCATCGAAAAACATCCTCAATAACTACAAAAGGAACCACAGTTATCCCAATACTTTCAACAACTAAACATGACAAACAGAGAGAGAGAGAGAGAGAGAGAGTCATACCTTCTTCTGCTTTCCACCACTGGATTTTGCAGGCTTGGACGAGGGAGGCAGGGCTTTGTCCTTCTTCGGAGCCTACGAGTTACGACCCATGAAAACTCGAATGTCAAAGAGAGACAATCACCACAACGGCAATCAATTTGGCATCAGGGCTCCACACGGCCTGCGAATTCTCCCCCTCCCTCCGCAACGAATCCGCATCCCTCTTGTACTTCCCCAACCTCACCCTATGCTGATCACACGAAACCAAAGACAATATCAAGAACAGTCACTGTACGAAACCAGTGACGACCGCGGGAGCGAGCTCGAGGTGAGACAGGGAGACGAACTCTGTTCGGCTGGGAGATCGTGGGGCCCTCGGTGACGGAGCACCGGATCCCGGCGGGGCGCGCGGGAGGGCTTGTGGGCGCGGAACGGGCGGATGGCGACGAAGGAGGAGGCAACGGCGGTGGCGGTGAGGGTGGCCATCATGGCTGGCGGAGGGGAGGAGGGAGCAACGGAGAGGTGTTTGGCGGAGGGGGGGTGGTTATGAGGAATAGCAGAGAGAGAGAGAGAAAAACCGGGGTGAGGGCGGGCAGATTTGAGAGATTGGCGGGGGACTAAATTCAGAGTTCCGTCGCAAATTTGCGACGGATTTTCTTTCCCGTCGCAAATTTGTGACGGATTTTTTTTTTTCCGTCGCAAATTTGCGATTGCGACGGATTTTTTTTTCCCGTCGCAAATTTGCGACGGATTTTTTTTCCGTCGCAAATTTACTATTGCGACGGATTTTTTTTTCGTTGCAAATTTGCGACGGATTTTTTTGCCGTAGCTAATTCCGTCTCAAATTAGCGACGGATTTATTTTCCGTCGCTAATTTGCGACGAATTTTTATTTCGTGGCAAATTCCGTCGCAAATTAGCGACGAAAAATTTCCCGTCGCAAATTTCCGTGGCAAAATCCATGTTTTTTTGTAGTGGCCTGTTTTGACAGGATACGACATTTTAATGATTGTGATAGTTTTGTGATCAAGTGTTTAATGTAGCATTAGCTGTTTTTTTTTTGGTCAGATCGCTATATGTTGTGTTGATATGGCTTTTTCCTGCTAGGTAGTTGCGTCACGATAATAGTATGGAGAAGGAGAAGGGAAAGCAAGTAATGGGAAATGAAGTTTCGGGTAAGGAGGGCCTATACCCTGTCAAACCTTATCAGAGGGGCGAAGGATTGCCTTATGCTCCTATAGATTGGCCTAATCCCGGCGATACTTGGTATTGGAGTGTTGGTAGTAGGACCACTCTTGCTGGTTTCTATAAAGACAGGTATATATATCCTCCCAAGCGTCTCCACGTCCAGGAACCCAACATTTGCTTTGATAGCAAGGCTGCGATTGAACGCTACATATCTTCGCAGTTTCAAACGCAGATTTAAATAAGTTTTTTGCTTCTTTTACCTGGATGGTTCCCACCATGAAGCATCACCGTGGCGAAGGTGAGAATTAAGTCTTAAATGGGTTTTAGTATCCTGTTATTGACCCATCATTTTTTTCGGAAGTCTGTGTTTCAGAATATGGAAGGTTTACTTTGCTCATAATGTTTGTATAAGCTCTAGTATGGGATAACATGATCTCTTCGTCTCATTGATGAGTTTTGGCTTTAACTTTGATTAAAATGTAAATTGGCTAGGAGGTTGGATCTTTATGCGATAAAAGATGCTACAGAAAATAATTTTTTTTATGAGTCCAAAAAAGCATAAGAATCTCAGAATTATCGGATATATCTGATTGACTATTAGTAATATTTAATTAAGTAAAAGGATGAGCCCTGCTCAGGCTTTGGAATCTTTATGAGTACGTTTTGTTATCTACATCGAGAACACCACATATGTGGAGTTTCAAAATACTTTAAAGACCCTGCCATTTTTGTAAAGGGATCTGAGTCAAGTGTGAATTTGGGGGTTTCTTCTGTAGGGGAAGTGATGTGAATGAAGTTTCCTCTTTGTTTCGCTATGCCGTGTGTAATCTAGGTAATTGCTAGGACATATTGCTAAGGCTCATAAATTTTAAGGACTCGACACACTGTCTTTTCCAGTTCAATTCTAGAGAAAGCCCTTTTTGTTCATTTGCCACTTTTGATTGAAAACCCTCATGCTACATTCTCATAGGTAATAGATCTTATTTATGTATTCTGGTGTAATTATTTTTGTTTCCAGAGAAGTATATTTCGGTTGCCACGTATGCATAAAGATGTCGAGCCGAGACTAGCAAAATTTAAGACACCGTTCGACTTCTTTGTTATCCCAATGTTTAGAAAAAGCACTGGCATTTTGTTCCTATGTAATTATATTTGGATCCCTCTGACATGCAGATTTGCATACAGATCTCTTTCCACAGGTACCACCTGACGAAAATGAATCCAAGCGGAGAAAAGAAACCCTCAATAATTCCAAGAGGACAAAAAAAGCGAGACAAGCTATGTTACAAGCCTTCCCCAGGCGCAGAACCCGACAATCTTACAAAATACAAGCTCAAGCCAACAATAGATATGACGGGTCTGTAATTGACTTGTGTTCCCTAACGGATGATAGTGCAAGTGATGGAAGTGGATATTCAATACATTGCTCTGAGTCGCCAATTCATGATAGCGCATGTGATGGAAGTAGATATACAAAATGTGGCTCTAAGTCGCCAATTGATACTAAGGACGTTGATCCTGATGAAAGTATCAGTCCTAGCTACAATGCAGTCAATGCTTTCGAGGCACCAGATGCACCAAAAGTCAAGGAATTTCATGCTCAATTTTGTGAAGATGATGTTGACGAGTGTCTAAAGTCTTTGGAACATACTCTTTTTCAGCACAATGATGAAGCTCAGGTGCAGACTCCTTTGGGTCATGTTGGTTCTGATATGGCAGAGGAAATGTCTAGGTATCGTAAGAAGCTTTCTTCCATTCTTGCCTTGGATTTCTCATGCTGGCTGTCCTCAAAGTACCTGGAAGAGATTAGTTTTCTAGTAGAGAAGCTCGCGACGGATCCCATCTTAACTGCCGATCAACTGCTTAAGTTGAAGTCGGTTGAAGAAATCCCCAAAGTAGGAGAGTTTTTTTTGCATGCTAAGGGAATTGCTGAGTAGGCTAACAAATTTTTCGGAGATCTTCAAGCCAAGAAGGACAAGCTTTCTTCTATCAAGAGAGAGTTCAGTGAGCTGAAGAAGGGAGCAGGAGAACTGCAGTCTCAAATAGATTCCAAGTCATCTCTTGTGCAAGAAATAGATGAACAAATTGCTCAGCTTCAATCTAGGCAAGCCGAACTTGCTTGTGACCTCGAGTCAAAGAATGAGGTGAAAGTTCAGATGGTTGTTGAG